CTTCCAAATCACCTTTCTCAACTCCTTCCCTACTCTTCCCCTCAATGGTTAGTGGATGGAGAGGAACAATAAGCCATGGGGTAATACCGTATCGGAGAAGGAGACCGAGGCGCCAACAATACCCAATGTAAATTCGGTTTCTCCAACTACTGCCGTTCGGATTCTCCAACTGTCGTCGTTCGGATTCTTCAACTGCTGCCATTCGGATTCTCCCACTGCTTGCCTTTTCTATTTCCGTCTAGTGTCTTCGTTGAGGAAGGTTATTGATTTCGATGGAGGTCTTCGTTTTTTGCATGTGGTTGTAATGATGATAACGCAATATTTACACATGTTTACACCCTCATTTCTTGATCATTTTTGCTTGATTTGTGTTATCCTTTGCCTATTTTGTACTAGGTTGTTTTCTTTTGTCATATTTCAGGTCCTAGAAAGTAAAATACGCATAGGTGCAAGTTTCGGGTCAATCGGGTGTCATTTGGCCACTCGATAGTTGAGCTGAGGAAAAAACACGGGCAGGAGAAATACAATCATGTTTTTCCCTCCTGTGATAGTGTTTTTAGTACCGAGAAGAAACACGACCATGTTTATGCCCTCTGCTCGGGTATAAGTTCGTTTCTGTGATTTTTTAGGGGAGAGCTGGGTTTTGGTTGCCAAACACCCAAGAGACGGAACCTAGAGAGAGCGACTTGGGAACATTATTGAAGTTATTTTGGAGGATTTATTCACCATTGGAGCTCAAGTATCAAGCTTGGAGATGGATATTGAAAATCTAGATCAGATTCCTACATTCTCTCTCTTCTCTATGGAGTAACTTCTCTTCACTTAAGTTTTGAGGAATCCTAGTTCCATGTGTTAGGATCTTTCTTATATATACCTTTGGATGTTATACTGATTTGTTTTGGTTTCAATTGAAGCATGATTATTTGAGCCAATTGAGTCTTGATCACATTCTCTTGATTTCTGCTTTAATGTAGGATAGATAGAATCTAATTGGGTTAAGAGAGCTCTTAAATTGGAAGTAGTAGATCGGCTGCGCGAGAGTCAATCTATTCACTGCTCGGTATTGGGATGGATTCCAGTAATAGAGATCTTTTTGTATTGCCTTAGCATTTTATGCCGGTGGAGGTGAGTCGCCTTTCTGGGTACTTTGTCTAAGAGTGCTTGGTCGGCTTAAGAGATTCAAAGCTATTATCGGATCTTCCGCAGTATAATTGACTCACTCCTACTGTCACTCTAGAAATTGGCCAGGTGTAACCACTTCCTAAAGCGTAGTGTAGCGGGTTTGGGTTTTAATGTCAACCCGGGTCCTAGATTTGATGACTACTCGGTGAATTCTTGTTATCTAGCAGTGAAACTTTAGTGCAAGTCCGAATTAACAAACAAACAAAGCAAGTTAAACGGTTGTTTTCAAGTCGAGAGAGGTCACCCGGATATGGTTCCCCCTAGACTGCAGTTAAGCCGGATTGCAATTTACCAAGTTCAGTTTTCATGAAAGTTATACTGCGGAAGGTTCTTAAACAGTCTGAAATCTCGACTAAAGGTCTCCAGACCCTCTCAATCTGAGTCTCCAGCGGGCGACTAACCTCCATCGGAGTAAACAGATTGAGGCCCTACCGAACTAAACCTCCACTACCGAATTGAATTCGGTACAGAATAGCGAATTGGCTTCTCGACTAAAGTCGCCAATTCACTACCTTCAATTAAGGGTACTCTATCAACCTAGGCAGATATTCTCATTCTAGGTTAAAGCAGAAACAACAGGAATTTGATAAGGATTCAAGTCATTCAATCATTCGAGCCTCAATCGAATATAATCAACTCATAAAATCTGTACTTGGGTTCATACAATCAGACCTAACATACAAATCTAGGGTTCCCCATACCCAGATGAATGGGGAAACTACTCCATGGAGAAAGAAGCAAAAGCAGATTCAGACGCGGAAATCATACTGTGAAGGATGAGTTTCTGCTCCTGGTTGTCAATCGGCACTTCTCCAAGCTCAAGCCGGGCACCAATGGTGATGAAGATCAAGCTATGGCACTTGGGAACTCTGGTTCGTCGCTTTCTCTCTCTAGGAATCGCTCTGTCTCCCCAAAACTCGGAACCATTGATTTTTAGCCCTCTTTTCCTTTAAAACTGCTGCTTGTCGCGGTACCTGGTCGAAATACCCGGTCGGGTATTTTGGGTAGCGACCGGGTATAATTGAAACGCACCGTTTTTGCCTCAGGGAAAATCCCCGGTCTCTTCCAATAATGCCCGACCGGGGATTTTTGCCTCCTGCCCGGGCCCCCTTCTGCTTCTCACGGACGCCCAAAGCCAAAAATCCCCGACCATGGCCAGATAATACCCGGTCGGATATTTCTGCGCATGGCCGGGTATTTTTGCTCTCGAGCACACTTCAAGCCTCACTTGCTCCTTTCGATCCGAATCTCGTTCCTTTGCCTTCATTCCAACGCCGGGTCCTGAAATATGACATAAACGTACAACCTCGCGTGAAATCGGCTTAAAACACGAGAATCAACATCTCAAACGGCTCAAGAATAGGGGTAAAAACATGTGCAATTATCGGCCTATCAAATTCCCCCACACTTAACCGTTTGCTTGTCCCCAAGCAAACCTAACTCAAACCAATGCAACTCTCCAGACCTCTATAGCAACCAACAACCCCGATCATAGGTAGAGGATTTCCTAGATCATTTAGCATCTTACGAGGTCAACCGACACACAAGTCATCTCATAGCTTCTTCGGCGAGAGCGCTAGTCTCGAGTCGGCATCATGGCAAATAGTGAACAGAGGACAAATGAATCGTGGATGAATGGACTCTCAGAACCAAAAGATCATGGACTCACCTTTTTAAGGTGCTCGATTTTCTTCTCGAAGATGGTTGGAATCCCTTTTCCTTCTTTTTTGCTTGTTTTTCTATTTTTTTTTCCAAGGGTTCCAACCTGCGTTTCAGAAAATGGGGGCTCCCACCTAGCAGAGGTTTTGCGGGAGCCCGGCTCTTACCGGCCATGCCAGGAGCGGATGTCTCAAGCCTCGTGCGGGGGAAAGACATGTAAGGGGGCTGGAGGTAGTAGGTGAAATTGGGAACGGATTCCCATCTCCCCTTACACACTTTCACCCTATTCGCACGGGAGATGTTATTTTAAAGCACATTTTCGAGCACCTGTTATTTTCAAAACATGATACAAGAGTCCATGACAGGTAGAGAGTCCACAACACCACACCATTCAAGGGTCCTAAGATCACTAATTCACTCAATCAACCAACACAATATGAAGAAGAAATGAGACTTCTTAAATGCATCAACATCCTCCATAGTGCTACACTACCTACCTAGGTTGCACATTACTAAAGAGACTGTCAATTCAAAGCATACTGAGCAGGCAATTGCAAGGAACACGTACTTGGAGCCCTCAAATTTAAAAATTTGGACAGTGGACTAGGCTCCAAGCACACAAACAGATCTAATGCAGTCAAAAGATAAACATCCCCCCACACTTAAGATCGACATTGTCCTCAATGGAGAAGAGGGAAGGAAAGGGGAACGATGTTACCGGGGTGCACGGACTGCAGGAGACTGGAAGTGGACCAGTCAGGGATGAAGCGGACTGGAGAGAGGACCAGTCAGGCATAAGCACAACTAAAGGAAACCAAAGAGCTCAAACACAATACATTAGGTCCAATGGTCAGCCCAATAGTACAACATCCAAAATAAAAAGAAAGAAACTAAACCGGCATAAGACAGTTTGCATGCTGACAAAAACAAAAACACTCAAAACATGCCACTAGGGCCCTCCGAGACCGGTGAAGTCGATCTGGTTCATAAGGTCGTCGTCTACATCCTCTGGTGGTGGTGGTGGTGGTGAATGATCCCACCAGGTGGTCTAGTGGTGCTCCTCTGGGGGGGTGACAAGCCTGGAGCAGGTGCTCCGAGTACTCCATCAATCGGCGGCCTCGATCTCTCTCCCGCTGGATGAGAGCACTAGTGACTCCCATATGGGTCACTAAGCGGCCGAGGCGCTCGTCAACAACCGTCAGCCTGGATTGGTACTCGGCCTGGTGGGCCGAATACTGCTGGTAGAACTAGACCTGATGGTCCATGAGCTGCTGGTTCTGAAGACCGAGCTGCTGGAACTGGAGCACCATCACCTGGAGCTGCTCCGTGAAGAAGTCCATCGACGGGCCAGAAGCCATCGACGGACCAGAAGGACCAGAGGAAGACTCGCCTCTCTTTGATCTCCGTCGTGGCTAAAGGTCCCCTGGTGGAGATAACAGGGGCTCCGGCTCATCCGCATCCATGGCCCCGCCATCATCATCCTCCTCCTCCTCCTCCTCCTCGCCGGAGTAGTCAGCGTCCTCCTCGCCGGAGTAGTCAGCGTCCTCCTCGTCTTCATCGAGATCCACATCCTCCTCAGGAGGCATGGAAAGCCCGCCTACCCAGGTGCGGGTGCCATCAGTGGCCAGGAGGAGTGCGTTGTGGAGCACTTCCCGGCTGAGGGGGGTGGAGCCGCCCAGGGAAGAAGAATCATGGAGTCCCTGGAAGCTTATGTCGAGATGGCGCGCCAAACGGGTGATCAGGGGACCACAGTAGAGATGGTTGAGCTTCTCGTGGCACAGGGAGATAGGGGTGGGCATCCGGTTCGGTAAACCCGAACCGGATCGAACCGAAACCGAGGTGAACCGAACCAAAACCGAAATATGGTTGTTCGGTTCGGAATTCGGAAAGAAAATGTTCATACTTCGGAAACCAGGGTTCATCCAACCGAACCGAGGTTCCGAGTTCCGAACTGAAATTCCGAAATAACCCACAACAACTCAAATGAACCTAAAGCCCACAGTTATTACAATTAAAAAAAACCCAAAGCCCACTATTATACCTCACAGCCCACAACAATTCAATCCCCACACCCCACAATTCATAGCAAAATCCTAGCCCAACCCTTAAGCCTTAAGGCCCCCTCCCAATTCCCAAATGAAAACCACACAGTGGCCGCTGCTGCTGCCACACCGTTCGGCGGCCGCCATTCCCCTCGAAGCGACGACTCACATCCCTCGCACTCCCCTGCCTTTCGGCTCTCCGACGACCGACTCCATCAAATCGGCCATCACCTCCACCCTCTTCTCCTTCACGCTATGTCGCCATCTCACCTCCTTCACTGCCTGGAAACCCTAAAAGCCCTCATTGAAGAGGAGGAAGAAGAAGAAGAAGAAGAAGAAGAAGCAAGAATAATAGGCAAAAATCAGAAATCGGAATCCAGCGGCTACTGACGGCAACATGCAAAAATCAAAATCAAGGAGGGAGCTAGTGGAGGACTCACTTCGTCAATCGCCATCTGAATCTGCACGCTCTCCGTCTCTGAATCTGCTCCACCATCGCCGCCTACCCCTGAGTTCTCTCCGTCAGTCGCCATCGTCGCCTGCTTTGACTTGCATGTTCTCGCCATCGTTGTATGTTGCCGTCGAGTCCAGAGACCAAGAGAGGGGAGGGGAGGAGAGATCGTGGTTGCATTTGTGCTATGAGGAGAGAGAGACAGATAGGTAAAGAGAGAGATAAAGTAATTGGTGGGAGTGGGAAAGAGTGATTCACGTGAAAAGAAAAAGGTGGGGTGGGAGTGGGAAAGAGTGCTTCCCGTGAAAAGAAAAAGGTGGGGTGGGAGTTACTTTCTGGAACTTCGGGTATTGCCTCAAAACCGAATCAAACCGAAATATATCTCGGTTCAGATGAACCGAACCGAAATATATTTCGGTTCGAATTCGGTTTGTGCTGTGAGCTACTTCGGGGAGTCGGTGTTTGTCTGTTCGGTTCGGTTTGAACCGAACCGACCGAATGCCCACCCCTAAAGGGAGAAGGTGGTGGCCACGAAAGAACCCAAGTGGAGCATGTGTTCCGGGCGCCCCATCGAGTACATGGCATAGAGCACCCGCTTCGGAATCTTGTGCGAGCCGGTGACGTTGGGGACGATGGAGCGAGTGATGAGCAGGTTCAGGATGTGCCACTGCGGCTTGAGGGTGCGGACGTATGTCTGGCCAGGGTCAAAGCAATCATGCCAATAGGTCTCCCTGGCTATTTGGCGGTAGAACCAGTCCTGGTGCCAGTCAGTCGGGTTCGGGATCTCGATCTCATGGCGGTCGAACGGGTGGTACTCGATCCCCAGGGCGTAGCCCAACCCGTCAATGATCAGTTCCCGAGGGTGGCCACCCAGCCTGAATGTCACTGCATAGGAGTCCCGGGCCGCTTTGTTGTCGTACTTGAACGGGGTGTAGAATTCCCACACCAGCTCAGTGTAGGTGGGCTCCTCTATGGCCAGCAGCGTCCGCCAATCGCGGTGAGCTCCTGCATGCAGTGGAGCTGCTCAAACACTGCCCACTCGAGATGGTGGTGGCGCTCCAATTTCCCCCGAATCACCGCGCGGAACTGATCCGCGTATTCCAGGTGCAGGCGCAGGCCCTGCACAAACGGATGGTCTAGGGACATGTTCATGCAAAATCAACAAACCAAAGGTGGAGCCAAGAAAAACTTGTCAGGACCAACAGCATGGGTTCATCACTTCCCCCACACTTAAGGACCACCTAGGCTAACAGTTTTAAGCACAGCCGGTTGAATCGCAAGCAACTCAACCGGAATCAAGGCAAGAACCACAAAACCAACCACATCAATTACACGGGCAGCACACACACCATATATATGACCACCCATTTATAGAGCCCTAGCTACAGTTCTACTTGAATTTCCAGGTGTGTTTCTTGTTCACTGCTCTTTTCCTGGAAAATCGAACTGTAGATTGTAGGACCGAGAACTGTATTTGCATGCCTGATTTAGAGTAGGGTGAGGGACGTGAAAAGGGGGCAAAAAATGACCGGGGAGGCTCGCCGAAAAATGGCTGAGAAGTCGCCGGAGAGTCGCCAGAAAGCCGCCGGAAAATGACTGGCGACGGTGGCGGCGGCGGGGACGGCGGCCGGCGGCGGTCAAGAAGAGAGAGGGGAGAGGATTTGGGAGGAAGAGAGAGGAGAAAATTTTGAAAAATGAGGGTAGAGAGAGAAACTGACCGAGGGTTTGCTATAAATAGCAAAAATCCCCTGTCGGGTATTTTTGATTCCACGACCGGGGGTTTTAAAACGCTGCGTTTCGAGTGCAAGTAAATCCCCGACCTTGAGCCAAAAATACCCGGTCGGGTATTTTTGGGTCAAGGTCGGGGGTTTGATGAAACGCGGCGTTCCAGGCCTGGAAAATCCCCGGTCTTGAACTAAAAATACCCGGTCGGGTATTTTTGGGACAAGGTCGTGGATTTTCCCTTTTTCGCCCCGAGAAGCAGAAGGGGTCCCAATCGTGGACCAAAAATACCCGGTCGGGTATTCTGGCCCACGACCGGGTATTTTCCCCCTTCAGGCCAAAAATCTCATACGCCCAATTTTACGACCTCTCCTGCATGACAACACCAAATCGAGGCATAACAGACGACCGAACTTCAACACAGACATGCAACTGACTCAACATGACACAAAAACTCAGAAAAAAGGGAAAAGGAAGTGCAAACCGTGGTGGGGTTGCCTCCCCACAAGCGCTTCTTTACTGTCTTTTAGCTGGACGCCGATGGCGGAACTAAGGGTCTGCGAGTTCCGCCACCAACTCCTCACGTTCGACCTCGTCTCCCAGGTAGAGCTTGAGACGATGGCCATTCACTTTAAACGGCTCAGTTTACGGGTTGACAATTTCAATCGCGCCATACGGGAAAACCTGGGTGACCGTGAACGGTCCAGACCACCGGGAACAGAGTTTTCCGGGAAAGAGCTTCAGGCGAGAGTTATAGAGGAGAACTCGATCACCAACCTGAAACTCTTTCGGACCCCGCAACCGTGCATCGTGCAGGCGCTTAGTGCGCTCCTTGTACAGCTTGGTGTTCTCATAGGCGTGGTAACGCCACTCCTCCAGCTCCAGCATCGGCATTTTGCGCTCAACACCTGCAACACCAACATCCAAGTTGAGCAGCTTAAGGGCTCAGAAGACCTTGTGCTCTAGCTCCACGGGCAAATGACATGCCTTTCCATAAACAAGCCGGTAAGGTGAAGTACCAATGGGTGTCTTGTAGGCAATGCGATACGCCCAAAGAGCATCATCGAGCTTGGTGGACCAATCCTTGTGAGACTGATCCACCGTCTTCTCCAGGATCCGCTTGAGCTCCCGGTTCGTCAGCTCGGCCTGGCCACTGGTCTGAGGGTGATAGGCCACGGACACCTTGTGAGTTACACCATAGCGCGATAGTAACTTATCAAACTGGCCCTGGAAATGGGTGCCTCGATCGCTTATAATGGCTCTAGGTGTCCCGAACCGGGAGAATAGCTGCTTCAGAAAAGCACAAACACGTCTAGCATCATTAGTGGGCAAAGCTTGCGCCTCAGCCCACCTAGAGATGTAGTCAACACCAACCAGAATATAGGTATTGCCAAAAGATGGAGGGAAGGGGCCCATGATGTTGATACCCCAGACATCAAAGATTTCACAGATTATAAACACATTCTGGAGCACCTTCCTTGCCATGCGGTTTTCTCCGTGGTGACCGCCAGTAGGTCCCTCATGACAGTGAGATAGAATGCCCTCCATCTCACTCTCCATAACACAGCGACGAATGATCCCGTTGGCTCCGATCCTGAAGAGATGAGGGTCATCCCAGAAATAATGCTTCAGGATGGAGAAGAACTTCCCCTTGGTGTGAGTTGTCATCCCCTTGGGCAGCTGCTGGCCCACCAAATAGTTCGCAAAATCGGAGTACCAGGGGGTGACACTCTCCACCAGGCACATCATCATCAGTCTCTAATCTGCGAAGGAGTCGTTGATCTCCTCCACGAGGTTGTCCGCAGGAGGTGCGTCCAACCGGGAGAGGTGATCAGCTGCAACATTCTCCGCGCCCTTCTTGTCCCGAATCTCAATGTCAAACTCCTACAACAATAAGATCCATCGTATGAGCCTAGGCTTAGCATCGGCCTTGCTCATCAGGTATCGAATTGCGGAGTGATCTGTGTAGACGGTCACATGGGACAAGACCAGATATGGACGAAATTTATCGAAGGCAAACACCACTGCGAGCAGCTCCTTCTCCGTGGTGGTGTAGTTCTCCTGGGCATCATTGAGGGTCTTCGAGGCGTAGTAGATAGGTCAGAAGTGTTGATCTCGCCTCTGCCCCAAGACAGCTCCAACAGCAAAGTCACTGGTGTCGCACATCAGCTCAAATGGTAGGGACCAGTCAGGAACAACCATGATAGGAGCTTCAGTGAGCTTATCCTTCAAGGTTGTGAACGCCGCTATGCATGCATCAGTGAACTGGAATGGGGCATCCTTCTCTAGAAGCTTAGTCAGGGGCAGGGCGATCTTCGAGAAATCCTTGATGAACTGCCTGTAGAACCCTGCATGGCCTAAAAAACTCCGGATCCCTTTAACAGATGTAGGAGGAGGCAGCTTGCTGATAGTCTCGATCTTTGCTCTGTCCACCTCAATCCCCATCTTGGAGATCTTATGCCCAAGAACTATGCCTTCTCGAACCATGAAGTGACACTTCTCCCAACTCAGTGCCAGGTTCGTTTCTTCACACAGTTTAAAGACAAGTTCCAGGTTACGGAGACAGTGAGAAAATGAGTCTCCATAAACCGAGAAATCGTCCATAAACACCTCCATAATCTCGCCGACCAGACGGTCAAAGATGGCGAGCATGCATCACTGAAAAGTGGCCTGGGCATTGCTAGCCCGAATGGAATCCTCCGGTAGGCAAATGTGCCGAAGGGGCACGTGAAAGTGGTCTTCGCCTGGTCCTCCGGTGCAATAGATTTCTGGAAGTACCCGGACATCCCATCCAGGAAACAGTAGAACTCGTGCCCCGCCAATCTCTCCAACATCTGGTCAATGAACGGCAGTGGGAAGTGGTCCTTCCGAGTGGCGTCGTTGAGACGCCGATAATCAATGCAAACACGGTACCCAGTCACCGTGCGCATCGGGATGAGCTCATTCTTCTCGTTAGAAACCACGGTCATCCCACCCTTTTTGGGTACCACCTGGGTGGGACTGACCCACTCGCTGTCGGGAATGGCGAAGATGATCCATGCGTCCATCAGATTCACGATCTCTGCCCGAACCACAGCCTCCAGGTTCGGTGTCAACCTTCTCAGCGGCTGTCTCACTGGCCGCATCTCATCCTCCAGCAGTATCCGGTGGGAGCAGAAGGAGGGGCTGATCCCCCGGATGTTTGTGAACTTCCACGCTAGAGCTCGCTCGTACTGCTTCAGCAAGGACACCAGTCTGTTCTTCTGCTCGGGTGTGAGGGTCGAGCTGATGATGACTGGCAACTTATTCCCCTCCCGGAGAAATGCATACTCTA